TTGCCTCGGAAGGATACTGAGCATGTAATCCTGGTGAACACACACGAGCTGTGCCTTGAGGAGTAAAGCACTGGTGACTGTGTGAGTTCCTTTCTGAGGAGTACCCTGCACACGGTGCTGCAGGAATGACAGCTCCTTCCCAAGAAGCATGGCACTGGTGAATACTGCAGCTTCTCTCCAAGGAATGCTGAGCACACAGGTTAATGGCAAGCACGTGGACTCCTCCTTGATGGAAATTAGTGCCAGAGTGTGTGTGAACTCCTTCCTGAGGCATGCCAAGGAGGAAAGGGCCAGGGAAGGATCTGGGCTCCTCGCTGGAGAATACCCTGTATGCACAGCATTGGTAGGTGAGTGAGCTTCTTGCCCACAATGCTGCCAGTCGTATTCTCTCCTCTCTGAATAATTCAGAGCTGGTGAATGCATCATTTTATGCTGGAGGAATGATTAATGTTTGGAGCATTGGCTAACGTCATCTGCTCTGAAATATAGACTGGAGACAACCTTAGCTCTTCAGCAAACAAAACACTGGGGAATGCACGAGCTTCTCTCTGATAAATGGCATGCACACACAGTGCTGAGCTACTCCTCTTGGAGTGATGCTGTGTGTGTGCAATTGGGGAATGTTGTCACTCCTCTCTTGATAAACATGAATTTCCTTTCTCTTCTCTAATAGCAATGCGGCTGCCTATGTACTGTAATTGTGTTGGCAAAACATATGGCCTTAGTAAAAGGAAACTCAACACTGTCTCTTACTAGAAAGAAATGGGGCAGCTTGGCCATACCTCAGTGGGGCAGCTGTAGTGAAATGCCACTAATTACATTCTTGAAGAGCAATTACCTGCACAGAGCCATTTCCTGTTCATCTGTCTGTAAAGCATAAATTTATATTGAGTTTCCCTGACTCACACAGAGAGAGATGATGGTTCTCCACTCATGAAGAATTTATTAGCTCTTTAGCTTCTACATTGGCTGTTTCTTTGAAAAATGCACAGATGGATGAAGCACCTTTCTGGGACATAACTACTGTATTTACTCCACGCCCATTAGGGTTAGGGTCCTGAATGGAGGGGATAGGCATGAACCAGTCCTTCTAGGGTATGTCTGCATTGCAGCTGAGAGGTGAGATTCCCAGTGCAGGGTTGGGGTTAGGGTCCTGAATGGAGGGGATAGGCATGAACCAGTCCTTCTGGGGTATGTCTGCATTGCAGCTGAGAAGTGAGATTCCCAGTGCAGGTAGACAGACTCCTGCTAGTCTCACTCAAGCTAGCACCCTGAAAATAGCAGCATGGACATTAAAGCATAGGCAGAGTCGTGGGCTACCCACCCTAGTCAAAGCCTGGCCAACCTTCTGGGTACAGGCTCAGGTGGCTAGGTGACCAGATGCCTCAATTTTATAGGGACAGTCCTGATATTTGGGGCTTTTTTTTATATGGGCTCCTATGACCCCCCACCCCCATCCCCATTTTTCACACTTGCTATCTGGCCACCCTAGGCTAGCCTGAGCTGCTGCCTGTGCCGCACAGTCCACACTGCTGTTTTTTGCGCACTAGCGAGAAGTTGTCTACCCATGCTGGGAATGTCCTCTCCCCGCTGCAGTGTAGACACACCCTTAGAAATTCTGAAACAGTGGAATGAGAGAACACTGTAGGAGTTTGAATCGGACACTGATATGGCAACTAAATGGACCCTGAGAGAGCCAATGGGGAGCCCTTGAAAGTTGAGCTGGAGAATGTAATCCAGAATCTTGAAAACAGAAGCTTGTAATGGACTGAAACCTTGGTTTGAAGCTCAGATGGAAAAATCAGAGGTAATGAAGCTGTTGTCCTCGTCTCATTTGTTGCAGAAGTTGGAATGTGCATAGAGAATGAGGCAGGGGATGGTATGAGACATGATAGTCTCAGGGTTAAGGCACTGAATGCCGTCCTGGAAAACTGGATTCTATCCCTGCCTCTGCCCCAGAGTTTCTGTGTAATGCTGGGCAAGTCACTTAAGCCAGAACTCTCAGATGGCCACTAATTGTCTTTTCTCATTTTCTGGCTCCCCAGTGTGAGATACAAGGGGCCAGGTTTGTAGAAGGGCTGAGCACTCACAACTGCAATGGAATTCAATTTGAGCTGTGTTTTGAACATATGAAGTGCAATTAAATGCAAAATACAATGAACAATCAGGCTTTGGGTCTCAGTTTGGCACCCAGAATTAGTGGACTCCTTTGATAATTTTGACTTTAAATCTGTGGCTCCATTCCCCAGCTGTAAAATGGGGATAATACCACCACCTAAGTCTGATATGGCGACCCACCCGATCCCAGCCACCTGGGAAAAGGGGAAGGAGAAGATGACGACAACCTAATCTCACAGGGGTGTTGTGAAGATAAATTCTTTAATATTTGTGAAGCACATGGGCCTGGATGCACAAACAGAGTTAGATGTTGACACAGACCCATCACGGTGCTTAGTTTTTAGACACCTAGAAAAATACTGTGATTCACAAAGCTTGAGTTTGGTGCCAAGGCTCCTATCCAACACGTGGGGGGAGAGAGAGAGAGGCACCTTACAGTGCAATTCACAGAAGTCAGTAGGCTAGGCAGTGAGCCGCCTAAGCTACTGGGTGGGAGATGGTGACCAGAGAGGGGGTGTTAAGCACTACTCCTCTCATGGAGATAGGTGGCTCCCTGCAGCCTGGACTTAGGTGCCTATCTCTGCTAGGAATTCCCAGGTGTGAGCCCTCCCCTGGAGTTAGGTGCCTATGGCACCTGAGGTGGAGAAGGGATTTGAACAGGGATCTGTCACACTCCGGGGAGTGCTCAAGCCATGGGGCTATGGGATATTCTGATGTGGGGACTCCCTCAGTCTTTCCTGTTGAAGCTGCTGCACTGATTTAATCCTGAGGCCAAGTGTACCAAATGGCACCAGTACAACGAGACAAGGCAGACGACCCAGCTCTGCCCAGCCTGAGAGACATAGGTGCCGACTCCGTGGATGCTCTGGGGCTGGAGCACCCACGAAAAAATTAGTGGGTGCTCAGCACCCACCGGCGGCCCCACCAATCAGCTCCTTCCCACTCCCTGCCCCCCCCCCAGCAACCCTGCCCATTGCGGATCAGCTGTTCAGCGGCGGGCAGGAGGTGCTGGGGGAGAGGGTGGAGCAAGAGGTGGGCTGGGGCAGAGTGGGGGGTGGGAAGAGGCATTTGCTGGGCATGCTTTATTGAAACTAACCTGAAAGGCTTCACTGGGGAGGAAGAATCCTCAAACATTTAAAGGGACAGGATGTCACACCAAGGTCTCTGTATTCCAAACCCCAAACCTTGTTCAACACTGTTTAATGTTGGAGAGTGACACGGTCATATTAACACCTTTGACTCTTTGGGCCCTTTATTCCAGCTACATTAATACAACAGGGCTCAGGCATACACTTTTATCAAGAACTTTAATCCACTCCTTTGTTCAGTAGTCCCGGTTTCTCCTATCAAGAGCCACCTGCTAACATTGCTCCCTCTCTGATTGAACTCTGTATTCTTCCGCTATGCAGAAGCTTCCCCTCTGCACAGGTAGTAGACATTTTCATTGAGCATATCAGTTTTGGAACTGTATGGATCAAGCCCTTCCAAAATTCATTTATTTCAACTCAGTTTATGGTTCTTCCAGCTCCTGGCTATATTAAATATTTCAGTGTAATGATACCCCAAATTGTGGGACCTTTATCCTCTTCCTTATTCATTCCCAGCTCTACTGGTAATGGTTAGTGAGGGGGGCTGGAGCGCTTTTTATCTGATCAGGGTGTATTACCATCACAAAGATGAGCATTCTCCCTAAGGCCTTCTTTTTCAAACAGTGCAGAACCCTGAATAGCTACCCCATTGAAAGGGAAGATCACTTTAGGACAGACAACTTTTGAGGACCCTGGGAGAAGAGGGGATGGTAAAACAGTGAGCTTGGCTTTCTAAGTGCATGGCTGTATAATTTAGCAGCTCTGGGATGAGCAGTATGTGATTTGGTCAACACTGGCATAGTGAGGTGGGGTTGACTGAGTGCAGTCAGGGGCACAGATTGTTGCCTGTGGCAAAATGTGATCAGCATGTGCTGTGCTGCAGCCCAGGTTTGTGAGAGCAGAGTACAAACCTTTGCTATTGACAAACGCTGCTCACATAAACCCTGTAATTTCCTCAGGCCTTGGGAAGGCGAATTTAACTGAAACATCAGCTGCTAATCAGAGATATGAAGGAGTTTGTCAGACCAAATACCTAAATGAGAGAGTGCAATTAATTTGGCCTTACGTTTCATAAGCTTTTGTCACCAAGTTGAGCGGTGGTGCAGGATTTCTCTCGCTGAATATAACTCTTTGAATTCCTTGTTTAGAGAGTTGCCTGTACCCATTCACTATGAAAGCAGGAAGCTACAAACAGGAATGAATAGGGATTTCTGGTTCTGCAGTTTCTTATTGTTGTTGCTTCAATTTAGATTGCTGAGAATGCCCCTAGAGATTAGGAGGAAGCATGCTTTAGCAGTACTGCAGCCAGCCAAAATAACATTTAGCCCCTGGGGCTCTAGTCACTCCTTAGGTTCCACCCAGTAAGTTGTGTTATGTGCCCCGGTTAGCAGAAAATCTGGGACTAGTGCAAGTCACACACAACCCCCTTTGCCGAGAGACCAGGAGCCAGTTAGTGTCGCCCAGAAAATGGGAGGGCAGTTGGAGAGGTAGTATGGACGAGAGCACCCAAGAAATGCACTTCAGCACATTCTCTGATCAAGCTTTGAAGATGAGTCTCCAAGAGAACCCAGGCCATGAATTAAAGCTGCCCACCCTCTGTGGAGCTCCCTGGGGAGTGCAGTGGTACAAAACTTGCCTGCCCTTCCTTAAATGCCTCTGTTGGCTCAGCAACGTCCCGCCTGTGAGGTTTGTTACAAACTACTGACGAGCAGCCACTCTCACATTAAAAGGACATCTGGTGATTGTATTGCTCTCCAAATGCATAACCACACTGTGCTCCCTCTCTGCACTTACCATCACTGCTGACCTCTTCCTCAGCATGTATGCGCCACTCCACATCCGCTGACTCCAGCAAGTCTGCTTGTGAGATCTCTATGATCTGCAGTTTCCGCAGACTCACCAGGTCTATCTCTCTTAACCCTGTTTCCAGTTGTTTCACCATGTCTTTGCCTGGCTGACTAGTCAAAACTGTAATCTGAAATAGAAGGCACAGATCTAATGCAGTAGCTACCTCCAACTGCCAGAGATATCACACCCAGCTGCTGTTTAGCAGAATACAGTAGCTAGGGAAGCCCCTCTAGAACCCCTGCCACCATGCAGTGCAGGGAGCCCAAAGAGGCCCATGTGACACCACGGCAAGGTGTGGTGCAGGGATCGCTATCATTAAGTGCTGATGTAACCTCATTTTGCAAAATGGCGCTGTTGTCAATTCTTGTGATTTGATTGTGAGTCAGTGAGAGATGGTGTATTTCCTAAACATCAACTCCTGAAGTCAGGTGATTACATGAACATCTCTGCTTTCACTTAAAAAAAAAATCCAGTCCTCATGGTTGTGGAGAAAAGCTTGAAAATGTTATGT